AGGATGACCCCTGGCATGTTCTCTGCCGGGTGAGAAGTCACACATGTAGGCCCTGTAGGCCACAGACTCTCAGACCAGGACAGGAGGTGGCTACTGAAGCCAGAAGCAACAAATGAGGCAAAAAAAGAGTCATGGGGAAGGCATGTTCCTCTGGAGCCGCTCAAAGCAGCAGCCCCAGCTCCCTCCTTAATGACAGGGTCCAGAACGTCTTGGTCCATTCCCAAAATAAGATAGTCACCCTTTCCAAGCCAGAGAACCCTTGTAAAATTTGATCTAGACCCTGCTTCCATCCTGTTGCTGACTGCGGCCTGGGATCTGTACACTGCGTGTCTGCTGATGGACAAGGAACCCATAGTGTCTCCAGGCAAGAGACCAGCCATGCAGCCGACCTGAGGCCTGGGGGACCCGTTGCCGCACCCCCACACGCAGAGCCCTGATTACTCACTCACACTGTCATAACTGGTCCATTCAAGGGAACAACAAAGCAGAGATCATTCTGGCAACAACAGGTCACCAGAGTCCAAAGGGCAAAATTAAGCAGCTTAAGGGAATGTGAAAACTCCAGTGAGCATGCACAAAGAAGCATAAGCCTCGGGTCACATCTCACACGTGACCCATGGACTAGGGCTGAGGAACACAGGCTGGAAGTTCAGGTCTGAACTGCTTCTCCAATCGAAGGGCTGGACAGAGAGGACAGTGAATAGAACAAGGCCTCCCACACAACCAATCCGGGTTCAGTTCCCAGCACCACACTCGGCTCCCAGGGCACTGCTAGGAGTGATCCCTTAGCACAAATCCAGGGTAGCACTGTCACATTGTCCTCCTGCTGTTCATTGATTTGCTTCCTGTGGGCACCAGTAACGTCTCCATTGTGAGACTTGTTGTTACTGCTTTTGGCATATCGAATACGCCACAGGGAGCTTGCCTAGCGGGCGGGATACTCTTGGTAGCTTGCCGGGCTCTTGGAGAGGGGCAGAGAAATTGAACCCGGGTAGGCCGTGTGCAAGGCAAACAAACGCCCTCCCCACTGTGCTACCGTAAAGCCTCAAAACTGCCGGATGTGGCTCCAAAACAAAAAGCAAACACAATAACTCAAATCTAAGAGGAATTCCTCACTGGAAACTTAAGACTGGAAGCAAAAGGACTTCTACCAAGTAACTAATTTCACCACGGACTAATTGATATACAGAAGAATTAAGTTCCTGCAGCTTATTTCTGGTCACAAAAACACCACAGAACTTTTCAGCAAAGATCCAAAAGACTGCTAATATTAAAAAAATAATCTTCAATCATTCTCCAGTCAGTTTATTCCAGACCAGCTAAGGGTGGCCAGAAAGTCCCAACAACTCAGGGTACAAAGCAGGCTGACCAAACCCGGGACAAGGCATCCTCCCAGCACAGGGCACACTCAGCCACATCCCCCTGGACTTGCCCTCAGAGTGGGACCATCAGATATGTGCTCCAACGGCCTTAAAGTGCACATATTTCTGGGGCTGCAGCCTTAGTACAGCAGGGAAGGTGTTTGCTTTGCATGCGGCCGACCCAGGTTCAATCCCCAGCATCCTACATGGTCCCCTGCGTACCGCCAGGAGTGATTCCTAAGTGCAGAGTCAGGAGTAATTCCTGTGCAACACCAGGTGTGACCCAAAAAGCCCCTCCCCCCCAAAAAAAGTGCACATATTTCAGATATGGGAGGGAATTCAGGCAGGGAGGGGGGGCAGTGGTGGAAAAACCATGGAGAACTGGGCAGAAACTCGCAAATTCCTGACCATGGTCCCAGGATTTTTTCCCTTTTTCTTTCATCAACATAGCAATGAAACAACACTGAACAAACAGCATTACTCAAGGACCTGCTGTACATGTTATGTGTATCTCTCTGAGCCAAGCTCCACAGGAGACCGAAAATGAACGAGGAAAACCTGCCTTCAATACACAATCTGTGTTACCATATGGGTACATCTTAGGGAAGTTACACTAGAAGAAACGAGGCAGACAAATAGCCACACAGATACTGCATGATTACCACTGGCATAAGACACAGAGTAGAAAATTCAAAGGGACAGAAATCAGAAAATGATGGTTCACAGGGGCGGAGGAGGGGAAATGGGTAGTTACTACTCGTCAAATGGAATCGGTTCAGTTTGGGAAGTTCCGAAGAGTGCTAGAGATGGATGGTGACAGCTGAACGGCGCAAAGGTACCTAAAGTTCCTGAACTATATCTTTACCTGTAGCTAAAATGGGTCAGGGTGGTCCATTTCATGTTAGGTAGATTTACCACAATTAAAAAAAAAAAAAAAAAGGAGTGGACTGACATGGGTGCCCCTAGGCTTTTGCTCCACAACTTCTCAGGCAGCCAGCTCCCCCTTCCATCACCCCGCACTGACGGCAGACTTGTCAAGGTCTCTCTGCACTACTAGCGCCTCCAGAAGCATCCGTGATCTCTGAATGAGGTGGATTCTTCTCTCCCACTAACTTCTAAGTTCCAAATGGCAAAGATTACTGTCTTTCTAAGCAGTCTGTCCAGAGGGAAGGGTTGGCCTGTGCCTGGGGGGTGGGGTGTCACAGTTAGTAAACCAACCAGGGGGCCTTGGGAGCGCACAGCTGGAAGGACCCCCTGGCCTGACCCAATTATCTTCTTCAGGCACATGGTCTGTTGGGGGAAAAACCCCTAAGATGAAGGTGCTCTTTCCTCAGGATAGCTCTGCAGCCCCACAGGGGCCCAGAATCCAGCTCTGCCACAACCTGAATATGTTCATCCCTCAAGTGAACAGCCCCCCAGTGCAGGGTGACTGCAGCCACCCCCAGTCCAACAGAGCCCTCGCCGGAAGCCCACGATCACTGGGCTGGCACACAGCGGTATGACAATTTAGAAAATATGCTGTGCACTCCTCCAAGGGGGTCCTGAAACTGCGCGATCCAGGGCCCCAGGACTGCGCCGATGCTGCAGAGGGTGACTTCCACCCCCTCCCACACTGTCGTTTTCGTCATTGTTCCCGTGCAGGCCCCGGGCAGCCATCTAAACAACATTAGTAACCGGTCAGGACAGAGACAGATGGCTGAGTCGGTGTGGGATCCCTCCTTCGCCGACAGCCACAAGTCTCAGAGGACCACGCTGGGGACAGAGTGCAAAGCCTCCCAGAGCTCAGACCCCGGAGTTTAAATACCTAACAGAAACGAGAACTTGAGATCTCGAGGACATTCAGAAAAAAGGTTCCAGAAAGTCCTAAGAGTTAGGTCCAAGTTGGAAAATTAACTCCTTGGGGGAGAGGGTAGAGAAGCCTCACATGTAAAGAGGCCCTAGTATTTCCTTCTTTAAAATATAGTGTGTGTGTGTGTGTGTGTGTGTGTGTGTGTGTGTGTAACACTCAAGTCTTTTGCTGAGCACCTCCACTGTGCTAGCCAGAGTCCCCATCTAAGGATGGGGTTGGCCAAACAGCCCTGTCTACAGGGGCCACTGAATAGACAAGCTTGAGGAGCTGGCAGAGGTGGGAGGACCCCCAGAGAGGGTCACTGAAACACTCCCTCCAACCAGGCCCCACTTCCCCCACTCAAACAAGAGACTGCTTCAGACTGCAGGTTTCCATGGAACCCTCTCATTTTCTTCTTTATTAATAACATTTTGGGGGACCCTGGCACTCCAGCTGGCACTCTCAGCCCACTGCTGGTGCCCAGTGACCACAGGGCATAGTTCCATACCCTGGACAAAGTGATGTGCCTGCTAAGCAGGCTTCTGAATGCTACGACTTTCCAGCCTCGGGTACTTCCCTACACAGTTGGGCCAGGCAGCAGGTCCCAGTAGCCATCCACAGCCAGCCCCAGCTGCAAATGAGGAGGGCCCACCACAAAAAAAAAAAAAAGTCTCGACAAAGCCAGGAACCAACAGCCACTGGGTTTCCAGTGTTTCCACAGTTTCCACTGGGCTCTGACCAACAAAGCACATACAGCTCCATCAGCAGAAAAAGAAAAATCAATGGAGCGAGGAATCAGATCCCTCCAGCAAGGAAAGGCCTCCTAGAGATTCTCAGCAGACTCACATCCGCCCTGTCCTTCCCGCGGCTGCAAACTGTGCAGAGTCCTCCGCGCCCAGACCCTTCATTCCATCATGTGAAGACATCTGAGCTCACCCCACCAGTTATGGACGTAACTCCAATGGCATAGCCAGAGAGCCAGGAATCAAATTTCTAGTACAGACGTGAAATCCCAAATAACACCAATAGGTGCTCATCATGCCTGGGATGAAGAGACGACAGATGGGCACCTTGGGAGCAGAAAAACGGAGCTGGGGGATGCCCAGCAGAGGCTGTGGGTGAGTAACGAGCGATGAAGTCGCTCATCAGAGCCAGGCAGATGAGAACGGGTGTGGCTCTGCTTCAGTCCAGGATACAATCTTCACCTCATCAATTTTCAGAGGTCCACTGAGTCACAACTGACTGCCGCCTAACTTCCTCCTGAGGCATATTTTCACCTGCTCTGACTTGCAAGCAAACCTGACACTTCCATGGCTGGAGAGCAGCTCACACCTCCTGGATTCCCCAAACGTGTCACATAACCCTTCCAGAACAGGCACTGTGGGGCGATGGGAAAGATCGATTCCTACACAGAGTTTTTGGCAAAAGTGGTCATTCGCCGCCCCCATTCCCCGCTAACGCCACCATCACTGCCTCCCCTGCATGGATCACAGTGACACTGAGGTACTCAGGGAACCCTGCTCCCAACTCAGAGTACTTTCAGCAGAAGCTTACAGTTCTAGAACCAACAGAACAAGCAAGTCACTGACCACCGCAATCCCATGCCAAAACAGGAGCGAGGAAGGGTTCTGCACCCGGGAAGAAGAGAGGGACGGAGCGCAGAACCCGAGCAAAACCCTTCGGTGGACCACAGCATTTCTAAATTACCTCCAGACAGTCTTCCCTCTCCAAAAGCCCTTTTCTGACTTTCTACCCATCCACGGGGGGAGGGACGAGGAGGGGCGTGGAGGGCTCGGGGTGGTGGTACCCACCTGCATCTCCATGAAAGGTGCCGTCCTGCCTCCCCGACAAGCTGTCCCCATCGCTCGGCCAGATCTGCCCCGTCTTGCGCACCCCCACGATGGTGGCCTCCGACACCACGACCTGTCCCTGCCGGTGCCGCTTCTGGCACTGGGGCGTCGGGGGGCTGCTGCTGTCGAAGGACTGCTGCGAGTTCTGCGAGGGGGAGCGACTCTTGTCGCGGAACATGCGGTAGGTGGTGGGGCTCGGGGACACGCGGCTGGACTGGCCCGAGGAGAAGTCCTCCTCGCTGGACGTGAGGTTCTCATTGGAGCTGCAATCGGGGGTGTAGCCCCCTCCGCTGTCCTCGAAGCTGCGCGGCGAGTAGGACCTGCGGGGCCACGTGAGGCGCCGCTCCTGCTCCGACGTGCTCTGGCTGCGCAGGAGCGGGGGCCCCTTGCCCTCCCCGTCCCCCATCAGGCCCCCCACGTAGATGCTCTGGTAGGGATGGTACTCCAGCGGGGGCCACGGGGGCTTGCCGCCGCCGTTGGCGCTGATCAGGTTGTCCTTCAGGAAGCGAGGGTTCAGCTCGGCGTCCTCGTAGTCGCCGTCGACGCCGCCGCCGCCGCTCTCCGAGGTCCGCGCGCCCCGGTAAGCGGGCCGGGGCGCGTCGGCCGGGCCGGAGCCGGCGCCGAGCTGGGCTTTCTTGCGCTCCATCTGCATGGCCTGGCTGCCCAGGGAGCTAATTCGGTCCGACACCTCTTTGTCGTTGACCTTCACCAGGCCGCGTTCGTGGTGAAACTCGACGTTCACGTAGAAGGGCTTCTCGCCCTCGGCCGCCCCGGCGGCGGGCTGCCCGTGGCCCTTGCGGATCCTCTCGAAGTTGGACCTGAGCGCCGCGACGCTGGTGGGGGCGCCCCGCTCGTCCCGCTCCCGGTCCCGGTCCCGGTCGGCGGGCGCCGCGGACGCCGAGCGGCGGGCGGCCGCGGGCCTGCTCCTGCCCGGGGAGCCCTCTCCGTCGGGCCGCGCGTCCGGCTCCTCGGCGGCGGCCGGCGGCTCCGCGGCGGCGGCGGCCGCGGCGTCGGCGGGCGAGGGCGGCGGGCGCGGCGCGGGCGCGCGGGGCTCGGCGCTGCCGTCGGGGGGCGGCGGCGCGGCGCGCCTGAAGCCCCAGCGCTGGCGGTCGTAGCTCTTCTTCTCCTTGGCCAGCAGCGTCTGCAGGTAGATCATCCGGAAGCGCTCCTGGTTCACCTCCTGCTCCAGGCGCCGGATGGAGGCCTTGCAGCGCTCCAGCTCCTGCTCGATGTCGCCCACCGAGCGCAGCTCCATGCGCGGCGGCTCCGAGTCCGGGAACTGCGCCTTCCACGCCTCGGCGAAGCCCACCGGGTCCACCATGGCGCGGCCGCTTCCTCGCTCACCTGCGCCGCGCGGCTGCGAACGGGGCCCGGACTCAGCGCCGGCGCGGGCGGCTGGCGACGCGCGGCCCGGGACGCCGGCCCACGACCCCCATGGCCCCGCGGCGGCGGCGGCGGCGGCGCCGGCGAACAATGCCCGCCCCCTCCCAGGCGGCAGGTGAGGCGGCGGGGCCGGGCTCCGCGGGGGCGCGGGGCGCGGGGCGCGCGCGAGGGCGGGGGGAAGGGCGCGGGCTGCGCGCGCCGCTATTGTGTGCGGGGCTGCGCGGCGGCGCGGGGCGCTGCCGCTGCCCCCTCCGCCCGGCCCGGCCCGCGCGCGCCTTTCCCTCCGGCTCCCGCGCCGCCCCGCGTCGCAGTCGCAGTCGCCGCCTCCTCGGGCTCCGCGCTCCGCCCGGCCTCGCGCCCGCCGCACTCACTCGGAGCCCGGCCCGCACCGGCGCCGCAGGAAGGGGAGGGCCGGGGGGCGGCGGCCGCGGCGGCTGACGGAGCCGGGCGGGCCTCTTAAAGGGGCCGCTTCCTCGGGCGCCGGGCGGGGGCGCCCGAAGCCCCGCCCCCTCGAGCCCCTGCCCTTCCCCCCACCCACGCGCGGGGAAACTGAGGCCTGGGCCGCGGCCCATTCGATCGACGAGGCGAGGGGCACTTCGCGAGTTCCGCGCTCCGGGCTCGAACACCTGGGTTCTGATTTCCTGCACGCCCCCTGGCCGCTCACTCACCTGCACCCCAGCCCGGGGCGCGACTCGTCACTCACGGGGCCCTGGCAGGTGCAGCTCACCCCTGAAGCAGGACGGACCCGGCAGGGTTTGGGCCCTCTGTGCCAAAGATGGGCTCTGCCACATGGGAGGAATTGTCGCCCACTTCTTCAGGAGAACCTTCCAGGTCACTTAACATCCACAGCTCCCTTGCAGCTCTCCTGGGCAGCGCGTTGCAGCCGGCCTGCCTCGAGCTCCAGAAGCCAGAGTGGTTTTCCCCAGGCTTGTGTGACTTACAAAGTCAGTTTGACCTCCCTCCGGTCCCTAGCGTCCACTGTGTCCTGCAGTGCTGGGGGCAGAGTTGGAGGAGCTAGCAGAGCAGAGCAAGTGGAGAGAAAAACTTTGAGTCACTCCCTGGGGAAGCCCAGAGATCCCAGACACACAGCACAGGGACACCATAGCCAGTGCGATGGACACGAAAACACCAAAACCAGCCCCCTGAGTGAGTAGAGGAGAGGATTCGTTCACCAAAGACCTGGGCTTGAGTCCTGACTGCCCCTGTTTGCCTCCATTTCCCGGCGGGTGAATTGAGAATCAGGATACTTACCCCCGGAGGCTCCTGTCCCTGCAAGTAATTACATGCCTGCCCCCAGTTCCAGTTCCACCCAGAATTGCTGCTAAAGAACAGAGTCCAAGACTAGTACCAGTCTGACACACCCCCAGATGCTTCCGTTCCCCTCCCGGATTTGCAGTTTTGTCTTCTTACGTAATATGTCTGACAGCACTACGCGTTAAAAAGGGGGGGGGGGTCGGTGTCGGTAAACATAAAGCAACCACAATAAATGGGATATAGAGGGTCCTTTCAGGATTGCCTGTTCAGTTGGTGCCTGGAGAGAATCCCCATTGGCGTCCCAGCTTCAGGCGCCTCCAGGCACAGCTCACTGCTGCCCTCTGCAGGCTGCTCTAATTTCCCGCTGTCCCTGATTCCTTGAACCCCTGTCCCCAAGGACCCAGCTCCTTTCCATCACAGATCTCCTGCAAGCCAGGCAGGGCAGATGTAACAGCCGTTTTGCTGGAGAGGAGATGCTTTGGCTTCAGGGCCAGACAAAGGGTGGCTAGTATCCCATCACTGTTCACGTCCACAGTGACCAGTTCTTTTAAATGATATGTTAAGGGGGAGCAGGGAGAGTATAGCCGGTAAGGCACTTGCCTTGCATGTAGCCAACTCAAGCTCGAACTCTGGCATCCCCATATGGTCTCCCAAGCCCTGCCAGAAGTGATCCCTACGCGCAGAACTAGGAAAGCACAACTAGGTGTGGCACAAAAACAAAACAATAAAATGATATATTAGGGTCCAGGGAGTCAGCCCACTGGTTAAACATATGTAGGATTTGTGTCACATAGGATTTGTTGATTTGATTCCTAGCTCATGTAAACAAATACCTATTCATATCAGACCACCGAGTAGGTGGGTCAGGCAGGTCTAGAATCCAGAGCTCCAAATCACATACCCTGGCAACAGAAAGAATCTCCAAAGCACAAACTTCTTTTTTTACCTGCTTCCCTCCTGGGAAAATTAACTGGCACTTTGACATTGAAAGTTTCTTATCTCTGATTCTCAGACCCCAATTCAGCCCCACCTAGAATATTTTATTTAAAAGCAATCTCATTGCTGAAACTCTGAAGCTATTTGTTTGTGTGGTGGGCCTTGTGCTCTTGGTAAAGCAGTGGATTATTGTTAAGCTCAAGTGCACAGCAAAATAGGAACTCTCCCCCATGTGGCAGCTTTTCATCCCTAGCAAACTCCCATCTTCCATCTTCTGTCTTGTCTTTGAATGTTCTCCCTCCTCAGATCCTTTCATTTAGAGATTTCATATCATCCATCCCTCCCAAGAAAGAGAGGAACCCAACACCCTGTAATGCCATATTCTGTCCTGGCTGGACATAAGCTCCCAAAGACAGAAGTCTGTTTGTCTCGTTTCTCATTGACACCCACAGTGTTCAGTATGTCATAGGCCCTAAAGGTGACACTGGCCAAATGAATACTCTAATATGTAAGTGGTGTGTGTGTGTGTGTGTGTGTGTGTGTGTGTGTAGGTTAAAGTAGTCATAACCAGTTTTTAGCAGAGATACATGTATACTGTTCACTGAGGTATGTGTGCTGAGGTCTGGAGATGACTTCCTAGGGACTGTGGTCTCTGAGTTGATCATGAAGATAAGCACAGAGCAAACAAAATTCTAGGCTTGTTTGAGGAATAGCTAGGCTAGAGACAGGTGGCCAAAGGTAAAATTAGAGCAGAAGTGGGACATTATATACTTGTGAAGTTCAGGTTTTATTTTAAATACAGAAAATCCTCTGGAAGTTAGTTTTGAAGCCTCAACTTTATCATTACATTTTCTCCATTGATACAGAAGTCTCAAACATCCTCATGAAAGCACAAAAATGTGGCATTGCAATTGAAGAACAGGTTTATGTATGATCCAGGGATCAAATACAGGGATATACGCTTTATCACTGACTCACATACCTGGCCCAGAATCCTTTTTCAATTGTGGTAGCAAGATGTATGTTTTAGGGGTACAGTTGAAAAACTCTTTGAAATGTATATTATCACACCATAGCCACTCCCCAAGCATCAGTTTTCAGCACTGTTCATCTAACGTCTCTACACATTCCAGCCTCCCCGACTCCCTCCTGGGTAACCTCTGCAGTAAGTTCTGTATTCCGCACCCCAAGGGTTTTCTTTCAGCTTTGTCTGTTCCTGGCTTATTTTAAGAAACAGATATTGTTTTGGTTTGAGGGTCACACTCACCTAGTGATGTTTGTGGGCTGCTCGTGGTTCTGTGTTCACCGAACTGGCCCAATGATGCATGGAGGATCCTGCAATGCCAGGAATTGAACCAGGGCCTCCCACATGCCAAGTATGTGCTCAGCCTGTTGAGATATCTCTGACACTGTGGGGTTTTGTTTCTTCTTCTTCTTCTTTTTTGAGATAACATTGGCTTATAACATTGTATAGCTTTCAAATGAATTCTAGCTTCCATCCAACATTATATAATTGTGCTCCTTTACCCATTTCACCTATGAAGGCCTCTTTCTTTCTAGTAACTAATGGGTTTTTTTTTTGTCTGTACCTTTATTTTCTCTTCTCTTTGTATTTCAATTACTAGTGAAAACATGTAGCATTTGTCTTTTTCCACCTGACTTACTTAGTATAATACTCTCAAGGACTACCCATATTGTTACAAATGGCAACTTTTCATCTTTATATAACTGAGTGGGAGGCCAGAGAGATGGTATAGTGGATAAAGTGCTTGCCTTGCATGTGGCTGAACTGGATTTTATTTCTGGAACTATATATGGTTTCTTGTAGGAATAATTCCTGAGTACAGAGGCAAGAGTAATCCCTGATCACAGCTGGGTGTGGCCCAAATAATAAATATATATATGTAGGTAAAGGTAAGGTAAAGGCCCTCCCGTTGATCGTCAATTTGCTCGAGCGGGCCCAGTAACGTCTCCATTGGAGACTTTGTTGTTACTGTGTCTGGCATATCGAATACGTCACGGGGAGCTTGCCAGGCTCTGCCGTGCGGGCAAGATACTCTCGGTAGCTTGCCGGGCTCTCCGAGAGGGGCGGAGGAATCGAACTCGGGTTGGCCATGTTGGCCGCTTGTAAGGCGAACGCCCTATCGCTATGCTATCACTCCAGCCCATATTTATATATATAAGAGTGCAGTCTTCTGCCCCCGTGCCTGACTGTCCTCGCTCGCCGGGACCCCTTGGAGGGGAGCGGGTTGAGCTTTCCTCCCCGCCCCGACGAGGGCTCCGGCAGCCAAAGACTTCCAGGACCAGCCACCACCATGCTGAGACCACTCTCCGCACACATGAAGGTACTGGCAGAGGGACAAAGTCACGCGGGTTCCGGGGCCAAGATCTCCAAGCCTACCCGGATTTGGGCCAAGCATCCTTCACCCAGATCCTCCAAATTCCAGTAGACAGGGGTCACACCCACCAACTGGCCCCCTGGCGCCGTGTAATTCCATCAGCAGCCAAGACTCAGAGACTATAAAAACCAGATCTCTGAACCACGCGGCAGCAAATGCGGCCGTGCGACATTTTATTATGACATCTTATTATCTCATTCCTACTTTGGACAAACTGGCAGGCTACCGAATGTAGCCTGCCTACACAGCAGAGTCTGGCAAACTCCCTGTGGCGTACCCAATATGCCAAATACCAGTAACAATGATGGGTCTCATTCTCCTAAAGAGCCTTCAATATAATCTCAGGGCTAGGGTGAAGGAGACGTTACTGGGGCCTGCTCGAGGCAATCGACGACTAACAGGATGATTTGTGATTTGTGATTTTGTATATATATAGAGAGAGATGTATATATATATAGAGAGAGAGTGT